AACAACAATTAATACTGCCGACACTCGGCTTCTAATTAATGTTTGGATACTAGGAGAAGAACATAGATCTCTCCTAACATTGTATGGCAAAAGAAAGTAAAAACTCTACTCCATCTGTCTTTAAATAAATAATGGATATCTTTATTTTCGGGGATTAAATTTCTTAACCATACATATTACTCTATCAGAGTCACTAATTTTCTTTCAATCTTTAGCTATAATGAGAATTCATCGGTTTTAATTGAGAAGTTAGCTGTGATATCTTTCATTTCCATTATACTGTCTCGAGCAAAGTTCATTTGAAATGTACAGTTTCTAACTCATGATTAAATTGAACTTTCTCGAACAATTTTCTAGGAGTTTCTAAAAGTTGTAAACACATTCATATTGAGATCCGTAAGAAACTTTATCGAATGATCCTCCTCGCACCTTATGATTGGTATCCATCCATTCCACGTCGAGATATTCCTGTAATTTACAAAGAAAGTACTATATGCTTACTTACTTGTACATTGCCTGACGAGAAAAGCGTAAAATGTGATAATAATATGTTCTTATATACTTGAAAAGTCGATTTATTATGGTCGCGGCACATATGTAGCCTCAATTGCAACGGGAAATGATGTCCAAGGCGTTTCGTACTTCGGATATGCCAAGGGAACTGCCAGAGGAGTTGCTCCGCGTGCTAGATTGTCTATTTACAAAGTATCATGGCTTGAATTTTCAACCTCTACTGCAGATATGATTGCTGCTTTGGATCAAGCTGTCGCAGATGGAGTTGACATAGTATCCATTTCCATGGGATTCCGTCATATTCCATGTTGACACTAAAAATTCCCTTTCCCTTAAGCTAGTACACAGAAAAGTAGGGGTGTTCATGATTCGGTTTGGATCGGTTTTTCCCCAAAAAGAAACCAAACCAAGTAAGTCGGTTCTTAAAATATTGAAACCAAACCAACCCAATTAATTCGGTTTTTCAGTTTTTTCGTTTATTTTATCGATTTTTTCTTAAATATGGGATATACACTGCCAAACACATATTTCGGCGACGACATTTTCAATGTAACACTATCAAACCAATTGCTCTTTGAGAATTCTATCATTTACCAAGATATATTGATGATAATTGAATCAAATAGTGATGAATGTTATGAAATACTTGATTATGGTGGATGTCCATAACTCCTAAAGGAGTAACACCCACTACTCTTCTTCATTAACCTCCCACTACTTCTTACCATTATGGATGTAACTCTCACACCTCCATGATCTTCCCCCATGTTCTCAATAGTTAATACCATGTTTATGGAGTCCCTTTGTATTACTTATATCATCCTATAAATAGAGGGTTTGGGCATCACATTGTACACACTTGAATACATAGAAGAAATAAGATTCTCTCCTCTCTTTCTCTCTACATTGTTGTCTATTTTATTGTTCTATATTGTTACTTTGAGCTAAGTTTTGTAATACGTTATCAACACGAATTGCTATATTCTTATATACTTTCTATAAGAGATAAAAGCCTTCCATGGGAGACAAAATTGCTTTTGCTGCTTTGCCAAGTGATAAGTTGACATTTTATATTGTTGGTAAATTCGAATTATAAGCAGACATGAGGTTAAGTATAATGAAAAATGTCTTGGATGATAATGCAAAGATAAGTTTTTCATTCTTCTAAACCCCACTCACTCTTTTGTAGTTTTGCATAACTTTATGTGCAATTGTCAATTGAAAGGTNTTTTCTTTATGTATCCAGTGAAATAAGTAACTGGAAAGATATGTTTTTATTTACTACATCTCTTATCGGACAAGGATAATATTCTAAGTAAGTCACATTGTATCATTTTACTCCATCTTATGGTGTGGAAATTCGGTACGATTTTTTTAACTTTGGAGCTTAGTTCCATTAGAAACTGTGAAATAATTTATACTTTGGTATAATCCTCATGGCCTTTTCGTTTCACGAAAGTTTATGTGTTTGATCATAATAGTTGTTAAACTAATTAATTCTTTCCTTGTTGTTGTTTACTGCCTTCATTGAATTCTTCATCTAATTATATGAACTAATAACTTTAAAAGCAAAGGCTTAAAATATTAGAAGTAACGTGACTTTGCTGGAACTTGGCCATAGCGATATCATTATGTTCTATAGATAGTTAGCCTATTGGAATATGTAAAGTGTCGAGCAAGATATTCTTGCTTCTTATTAACTTTCTGAAACTTGAATATACTAGTAACAGTACTAGTCACTCTTTATTTTACGAGACAGTATATTCTTCTTGGATTGTTTCTTTCAGCTAATAGTTTTCTATTTCAATAAATATATACATAAATTTTTATATATTTTAATATATAGATGTTTATTATGATGTACTCTATGGCATGACACCTCCCTATTTGTACATGTGTGTAATAAAATAGAAATTAATAACAAGACAGAAAATATAAAGATTAGGTGGTAAAGAAAATCTATTGATCCAGAGTGATGTCCATCATGGTAGAGCTAATCAATGGGTTCAAGGCTCACTTTAGCCTATTATGTCATTTACTGAGGGTAAGACGGTGGGTTCAAGTCCCAACGCACCACGAGAATAAGACACCGGGTTTGAGTCCTGGTGCACCATGATGATAAGAGTTGGGTTTGAGTCCCAACGCATTATAGCCTTACACGCACGCCTTTATATGGGTAAGTCATTGGGTTTGAGTCCTAATGCACCATATTGATGATATAATGATGACTAATGAAAATAATGTATTTTTCATGAAAAAACATGAAGCTTGTCCCACTTGATTTGCTCCATTCTTGTAGTGAATGTGATAGCGGTGCATAATAAATCTAAATGAAGACAAGTGGTTGACTAATGAACGTGGGCGTGCCAAAGACCAAAATAATAATAGTCATCATTATGGTAATTATAAAATGAGAACAATAAGGGTTCTCAAAATAATCCTTCAAAGGTGAAGGAATTGTGTATCAATATGGTCTGTATGAGGCACGCTCAGACGATTATAGACCATTTTATTGAAAGTATGCGACTTGTGATAAGCATTGTAAATGCAGACTCATTCCTGAAGTGAGTGTGAAAATATATATGTGATACAAATTATGCACAAGAATGTATTTATGCATGATTGAATAAATACTACAACTCACATCTACAGGAGGTTTGAGAGAAAGAAAGATCATGAACATTACTATGTGGTTATACGAATATGTCATTGGTCGTGTACATGTGGTACGCCGAAAATATTTTGCCATGCCTTATAAAAATTAATTAAAGGCAAAATTAAAGCAGGAAAAGATTTTGCTTATGATGATTTTGACCATGACAATTATTATGATAAGATAATATTTTCTGTGGAGGAAAAATTCACCACTTGGATGTTGTTTCAAAAGATCTTGTAGTGCAAAATTATTGAGAGCTCCAAAAGAGCGAATTTGTTACTACCCGAATACATAAAATTATTTATGGC